GGCGCTTCAAAATAAAGTAACAGTTAAATCCCGGGCATGGCCGCTCTCAGGTTTCTCTCTGATTATAGCCCTTACAGGAAGGAGAAAGTTTATGTAATAAAAAATTATCGTTTTGTTTAAACAAATTGGTATTGTAAAAAAAATGAATATATTGGGGAAGAATACATGAGATAACAATCGTGTCCGTAAAAGTGAAAAAATAAAATAAATCATAAATTAGTCTCAAATTTATTTTCTTTACTATATTATTTTTCAATATGGAGAGCGACTTATTCCAACGCCGTATATACGCAGAGTAGATCCAAATTTGGTTTATCTCTAATGAACACATCTCTTTTTTTTATGATCAAATTCATTTTCGACGTCCTACGATTTTATCGACAAGGTCAGAAATTGGATGTAGTCACGTAGTTCACAAATCGAAAATGGATGTTCTGGCGGTAGTGTACATGGCCTTTTCTCAGGTTTCTTTCTGCTCTCTGCTGTGATTACTGATTAGTGTGATTGTCAGTGATTGTCCAGCATGGAACACACTTGATTTGATACATGCATGTGGTTGTACCGCAAGCAACAATTAATAAGGGTGTAGTTTGCATTCTATCGGTATTAATTTCGACATTCCGGCAACTGTATACCTTTATTTAATATTCAAATACGTGTATGCTGGTGTTTTCTTTTATTAAATTATTCCTCGCTTGCAAATATTGATTATTTTGTAACAGTAGGACAAGTAAAATGAATTGACGTGTGCTTCAACTCTAACCTATATTCGAAGAAGATTTTCCGAAATTTTTATACTTATTTATAAAAACAATAGAATATGCACCTATTTAAGCGAAAGTTTGGTGATGCTATTAAATGATGAAAACAATATAAGTCTAGCTTTTATGTGTCAAGAAGAGACTGTTGCTTAACATCCATCTTGTGGTTTTAAATTTCAATCCTAACGTAAGTGCTGTGCATTGAAATGACTTTTATTCCTTTGAGCAAAGTGTAAACCCAATAAATGAGTTCTCCTGAAGAATTACTAAATGATCAGGATCCTGATTATGTTTCGGCAACCTCCAGTGATCAAGTTCAGCAGAAAATTTATGAAGAAAATGGTAAACATATTAACTCTATTAATAATATTAATTTAGATAACATAGGTATTATTGTGATATTATGTGTTATATGTATTAATTCTAATAAAACTGGTTATTTTTAACATTGATATAACAAAATTTTTACTTGAGCAACAATTTTTCTTCTCAGAATATATTTTTAAGCGTAAAAATACACAGATACATGAAAATCGAAGGTGGAGGGGCGTTATACTCCATATTTATATTTATTTAAGCATCTAAGATCCAGTTTTAATTGTTATAGGCTTTAATTTTGACTTGCGTATTCACATTATGTGATCTTAATAAATCGTTTATTATCATTAAGAATACTTTACTACTGATATTGGATGTATTTAAATAATACTTTTTTCTTTTTAGCAAGGAACACTACTGCAAAAAAAATAACTGCAATCATAGAAAAGGAGTTTTCACTGGAAATTGATTTGAAGGAGAGGGAAATTTTGCAAATACAGGAGAGATTACATAAAGCTCTGAAGATCTTTCATCTATTACGTTATGTCATAATTACTAATTTTTACAATCGTAAGCAATGTCAAATTTCCCAAGCTGCGGAAACAACGAAACAGACGAGAATTCATCCTGCGATTAAAACTTTACTTGGAAAGAGTCCTAAATTTACTGATTATACAGATCTCGCAGTGCCATCAACGTCTACTGATCCTCGATTTTTATATGATGACAAGTCTTTCACATTGAACTCAAGTACCGTGTTTAATAACATACTTAAAAACGAAGAATATGCCAACAAGAATGATGGAGCGTCACAAGGTGAAAAGCGAAAAATGCCGGAAGAAGAGATTCAACCTCGCAAGATACCTCGTTACGTTCCACCAAAGAGCAACTTGCCTGAGAAGATATGTCCGTCTCGTGGAAATAGCCATAAGGTCTGCAAACGCATTGTCGTCGGCAATATTTCTAAGTGGATCTCACCGGATTGGCGAGAGGATGCGTCTAGCCACAAGTGGACGATGTATGTGCGTGGTGACAAAGACGAAAAAGCCGACATCAGCACTTTCGTCAGTAAGGTGAGGTTTTTCCTGCATCCCAGCTACCATCCGAATGACATCGTCGAGGTCACATCGTACCCGTTTCATTTGTCCAGACGGGGATGGGGCGAGTTCCCTCTGAGAGTACAATTGCACTTTAAAAACGTCTTGAATAAGCCCATAGATATAATTCATCATCTGAAATTGGATCGTACTTATACAGGACTGCAAACCTTGGGCTCTGAGACTTTGATCGACGTGTGGATTCATACGGATGAATCTCGTAATTCTGAGAATAATGACCATAAATCTGTCAAGTCTTCAGTTAATGACACTTTTGCAAAAGTAGAATTAATTGATAGTTGTGAATCTACTGATATGCAATCAGAGAAATTTACAGACACGTCACGGCTTAACATTTTCGGAGAAATTCAAGTAAAAAAAGAAGAGCCTAATTCGGAAGTACAAAAACGATATAATTCATTGTTGGATTTAAAGTCGATAAAAAATTCAGAAAAAATAAAAACGGAGTCTAACGACGAACTAACTACTTACATATCTAATGATAAATATAGAGAAGCAATGTGTCATATCAAACACGATCATAATTATTTTTACAGACAGTATTTCAATTCTTGTCATTTTACAGTAAAAGAAGGAAACATGACTGTGGAACATTTTCCGGAAAATGACAACACAACATCTGCGAGTAATTCATCAACAGTCGAAGATAACCAAAGGAAATCTGATACAGCGGTTTCCACGCATAGAATTAACGGTGATATTCAGTCTTCCAGTAACTACCAGCCTTTAGCATCTTCAAATACAATTATGAATGATTTACAAGTGACATCAGTAAATGCAGCATTCCAAGAGAACAATAAACGAAAGGATCTATTATTCGATACGGATAAATCCTTTCAAACAAAAAATTCGAAGAATGATACTTTTAGAATTTTAGAAACTTCTTCGGCCAATGATACAGTGACGGCGATTAATGGTTTCCGCAAATCACACGATATCTCGATCGATTGCTCCTACGATTTACAGAAAACTGCAAATTCTTCGGAAACCGATTTACAATTGAAACCTCTGCAAATCTCCATACCACCGAACATATTCCCGTCATCAACCAGTAAGCATATACTTCTGTTGAAGGATAAAAAGTCGATACCGGTGGATCTCACGAATATTCTTCCATCAAAATCTAGCGAAAACTTGAGGATGCTCGTTGATGGCGTCGTGAAAGTTTCTGTCCCAAGCGTCGTAAAACTAAATGTTCCCATTTCTCAGGGCGTTAGTATCCTGAAGAAGACGTTTAATATTAACGCAAACACACAGCAGGAAGATACTGTGAACAACAAAAAAAAGACTGGGGTACTCAAACTGAAAGATACTAATAGTCTGTTGCTAAACGTTAACGAGAACGTGCCGATTCTGAAAATAGTGGACTCGCACGATTCACGATATAACTACAACGCTACCGAGGCAAAGAGGGTCATTCCGTCGGTTGACAAGCAAGAGTTTGCGAAATCCGAGAAGACCATGGTGCAGCGGACGAAGATCACGCTGGGCAAGGACAAATTCAAAATTCAGAGCAAGAAGGATGTTTATGAAGCGGTTCTCCAATCAATTAATACCACAAATATCACCGATATGGAAGCGTTAATACGATTTATTATACGTCGATTGCCAATTATTACGCAAGACGTTCGCGATCCCGATTATAAACGGCTGCATGCTTATGCGTGTTACAGCGAGGAGAAATATTTGTCGTACAACGTCGGTAAACAACGAGCCATAGAGTGGTACCGCGCAAAAATGATTAGAAGCTTTCTGCAAATGAAGCCGATTTTAAGTGATCAATTGTGGAGCACCAAGGAGATTATGCTATGGGCGAGACTGCACGGCTACACGCCGAATTGGAGTGTCTTCGGCGTTCAGGAAACAGTAGGAACAAGCGATACGAAAAAACTATCCGATATCACCACATCTACTACGGTTTTGTCCACATGTACAGAACCGATTGCGTTGCAAAAATGGCTGCAGACCTGTCAGCAAGAGCCTAATTGTCAGTCAGATAATTATATCAATGACGAAGAGATTGACGTTGAATCGTATGAGAGTATTAAGGAATGTCCGCGTAGAATCACAATTGATCGAAGAAAAACCGGCAGGAATATCAGTTATTCAACTGATTCTACATTAATACCGATTGAACTTGATAAAAATTTGCTACCGTTTCATAATTTCGTGTGTAATACCGCACAAGAAATTGGCATCAAAATCGGACCGGAGGAGATTATTCCTGGTGTTGTATATTGTGCAGCTAGTCGTGTAATAATGCGGGTAAATATTATTTCTGATATAAATTATACTTATTTTTGTATTAGAGTGGGTTCAAATCTTGACAGAAAAGCAGGAAGCAGGAAAGCAGTAGCCAATCAAAACTTGGTAGTAAACAGTATAGAAAGCTATAGAAAGCCGAAACCAGTGACTACTAGGTCTACTACTACGCGAGTTTTGATTGGCTGTCACTTTTCTGTTTTCTGTTTTTCTGTCTAGATCTGAACCCTTAAAATAACAAGTGCATTGTCACTGTTACAATTGTGTTCAGGTTGTCGAATGTTTCGTGGAGGATCTCACTCGATCATCACTGGCAAGAGCTTGGGAAAGAAACAATAAAAATGAGTAATTATAATTTTCTGTATCTTTTATTGCGTTTTGTAAATAACAATCTATCATTTCTCATTAATTTATATTGCAGATGTCCCAAACTTATTACGCTAGACGATGTCCGTAATGCTCTTGCGAATCGAGAAGAATTCGACATTTTTACGAATGAAGGTTTGGGTTCGAGACAAGAATTAAATGCAACAAAACTGTAACAACACGTGAGCTGTCGCTAACGAACGATTACTTAGTCATATTACTGGATTCCAGAATACAACTAAGTAATCCGTGTCATTTTTAAATACAGTAAAAGAAAATCGAAGCACACACACACAGAGATGCAAGTTTTCTACATGGAAAAACTCTAGCTACTCGATTCATTTTAATCCCAGCCAACTGGAATCCTGTGACGATTAATTTCATGTTGCAGCCACTCACGGATTGGTTCGAAGTAAAATAAAAACGGCTCCACGCGATACTCGGAGTATCCTGTTGTAAAACGCAGCGCGTGTCTCCAATTTACTTTACTTCCGAGTTTCATGATCGACCTGGAAGTGTAAACTGAGTCACAATCACTTTTTTATATAAATTCGTACATCTTTTTCTATGTTCTCCATAATCGAATGAAGCATTTAGATAAATATTGTAAGGAAGTTATTTTTTTACTTCTTTCCCTCCTTTTTTTTTTGAAGAAAACCAGAATTAAAGTTATTGTTTTGTAAGAATTCATGCAGTTAAATTTTCTTCCAACCTTAAGAACTTTCCCGCATTCTTTGAACCATAAATGTCGCATTTGTGAAGAGGTAAGTTAAATGCCTTTGAACCAACGGGTACATTCAAGGATGCCTCGCACATTCCTTGAAATAACTGAACTTGCAGAAAGTTTCCTAGGTAATACCTATTAATACCAAATTATTTGTTATACTGAGTGTTCCATTTTGACTTTTATCGAAATATTTCGAAAATTATAAAAGATACGGAAAAATGTTTCAGACAAAAGTTATAGGTCTAAAAAGGTCTATTTACTGATCATATCTATTTGACACTGGGTGGCGTTGCCAAATTTTTTAAACAGAACTCTCTAAATTATTGCATATTATTATGACTCTTCCTAGAACCTCTCTTTCCAAGACACTATAATTTAATTCACTTTGGGTCAGCTGTTTTGAAATTATCGAGATTTTTTTTAAGTTATTTAATGCCTGATCTTGGCAATGCCACTCAGTGTGAAATGGATATGATCAGTAAATAGATCTTTTTAAATCCTACAACTTTTGTCTGTGAAACATTTTTCGTATCTTTTATAATTTTCGAGATATTTCAGTGTCAAAGTTAAAATGGGACGTCCAATATAATTTCATTTATATATCCTTATTACTTACATATTGAATTGCTTTAAACTTACCCAGCATAAGGTATATTATGGACAATGTGAAATTTCGCCGCAGGATCGAAGAACTTCTCAGATCTCGGTGACGGCGGCACAACGCCCATGTATCGACGATGCAAATACCACCAGAATGTGTTGTATTTCGAGGATTTTATCTTGCCGGAAAAGACAGACCATCTCCATTTCTCTATTATTAGTCCATGGGACAATTGTGGTATTTTAAGTAAAGCTTGCCTTAGAAGAAGAGCTATTTCTAATGAAGCTTGAGTATACGAATTTACTTCAGACGAATTATCGGATGACGCGAACGCATTACGTATTAATCCCAGACGATGCATGTGTCCAAAAGAAGCTGTACCATATGAAATGGCATCGCCTATTGACTCGTGAAAAGCACTGTTGATTCCATTCTGAATAAAAGAATATATTTTACATTATACAAATTAAAAGGAAACTTTTTACTAGCCATTAACATTTTTCATTGTCGGCTTCCAATTTGGCTTATGTAGCGGTTTTTATTTAGCATTTGGAAGTCTTGTAGAAAAGAAATTATGTGCTGAACGAATTATCAATTAATTGATATTCACTCAATTTATGGTTTATATAAAGATTTAGATTTTCCGACTTTCACTAAAAAATAACCATAACGATTAACCATAACTTTGAATGATTCATTCAGCACATAATTTTTTTTCTATATTTTACATTACAAATACTAAAAAAAAACACTACCAAATTAGAGGTGATCTAATGAAAAGTGTTAAAAGGATCTTAAAGTCTATATTATATACAGACTAAACCATATAATTTTTTTATAACAATTTTTTTTTTCCTCTTTTACTGATTGAAAAATCATTTTCTAGAATTAAAGTATACATATTGTGAAGTGGAGTCTATGCCGAGAACGTAAAAAAAAAATTCAAAATCGAAATTTTCTTTACCATTTCTCAGTCCAATATAGCGATCCAGAGCTGTCACATATATCGTAACAACATTTGCTTTGTATAACAAATATACATATAATAACTTTATATACAAATTATACAATCTGTACTTATACGAAATAGTAGTCCATAAATTAATGTAGTTTCCACGAAGAAACGACACGGAATTCTTAAAATTGGACTTATATGTCTAATTAAAACATTATTATTTGTAACGTTATACGAAAATTTATGTGTGGCATACGTAAGTGAAATATTGATGTATTAATGACATTAATCGTCCTACTTACACTATAACTAATTATCTTTGTAATTTATATGTTAGAAGAATAGTCAGTTGGTTTTTATCAAAATAACGATAAGCAGTGTGAATTTATAATATAAATATAAATCAGTTATATACAATTCAATTTTTAAAGGGATTAAATACCTTAAAAAATGACGACTGATTTTGATAGGCCATGTAATACTGTATGTGACCAATCTCATGATAAATAATGTTGAAATCTTGCGGTTGTATTTCTAAACACGCAAACATTCTAAAATAGAAGCGCAGTTGAATTTAATTGAGCAAAAGCTACAAGCTAATTAAATTACTTTAATACAATAAATTTTATGTCCTTAAAAGTAACATTTCGGTCCATACATGAAGTCATTATCAGTATTATAAACGATAATTAAGTAATTAAAAGTGATCATTATTTTGCATTTAATGCAAGAACTGCTGGTAAAATTAAACGTGATTTTTAAAGTTTGTTCCATGCAACTCTTGGTGCAGTGACAAATCCTAGTAAACTATGAATATAATTGTTATAACATAGATGTAAGTGATATATATTTACATAGATATAAATATATAACATAAATATAAATACTTATCATTTACATCTATTTATGTAACAGTAATACTCATGGTTTGCTGGGATAATACGGAAGAAATTTGTGAACAAGAAGAATTCGGTACTTCATTGACTAAATTGCAGACCGTAATGCAATCTCTCGTGTTCTAATATGCAGATTGTACATTATATGTTTGCTAAGACAGCAATAGTATTTTCATTGGTAGCAGTTTTTGTATAATTATGATTGATAACATTAAAACTATCAGTTTCTTGAAGAGATTAACAAAGTTTGCTAAATATCCATCAAGATGGTGGATTTTGTTTTATATAGACATTTTTTAGCATACATATAATTTGAGTTCACACGTGTTGCGTTTTCACTGCACCTCAATTTTTGTAATTTTTAATTGTTATATAACATTGATAATGACTTCACGTATAAATCGAAACGTTTGTTTATAAAGACGTGAAATTTATATCTATATTATTATTAAAAATAACTTAATTGGCTCGTAGTTCGTCTAATTATTAGATTTGTTAATCATTTGAGCCGTTTTCTTATCTCATTTAGATTTATAATAATTGAACTCGTGTTACATCTATTTCTATAACTTGTAATAGAAATACCTGAAGTCATCTTTCTTGTACATGTTAACTGCAGTTGCATGGCAGCCAGATCTCTTGCCAGTTTCTTTTTCAAAGATAGAGTTTTTCCAGAATTTTGACGGTAACGGCGGAAATCCAAGAGATACATAAAAATCTTCCGCAGTTTTAACCATTTTTATTACGTTGTAATTTTCTTGTATCATTGAGTCCGTTAGATTTAGCATGCCAGTGTAATTTGGAAATACTATATCGATCAATGCTTCCCAATTCTGCGACCATAAGTTGCCTGTAAGAGTAACGTTAACATGCGAAAGAAATAGATACATTTGCTATCTTTATTATCAGAGTTGTGCGCGTTACCTCAAAAAAGTAACCCGTTACTTTTTGAAAAAAGTAACTCGTTACCGTTATTACCATTACTTAAAATGTAACGATTCGTTACTTTTTTTTATAATGCCAAAAATTATTTGATTTTAAAATTACATTAGCTGATAATTAATATTAAATGTGAAATAAATATTTAAACTTGAAACTCTACTAAAAATTTACAGTATATAAAGGTATATAATGTATATAATGTATGTATGTATGTATGTATGTATGTATATAATGTATTTTATTATAAATGTATTTTTTTTTTGTTTGTTAGTCACTTTTGATCGTAGTTTACGGGAAGATCCTGGGTCCTATTAGGGAAAAAAGTTACGATCGTTATTAAAAAAAGTAACGAAAATAGTAACGCGTTACTTCCCAACCCTGTTTATTATGTATTTATGTTTATTATTAACTTTTACTTTACCTAATAAATGAGCTGGAATTGGTTGAAACATATCAACAATATCAGGATATAATTTCGCGAGTCTGAATCGTACGACAGCATGAAGAAGGCGATAGAGTGGCTTGACTTGTCGATACATTTCTTCAAAAACGTTTTCTAAATCTAGAATTTCGTATTCCTCTCTCCAATATTCTCCAAAGTCAGCGTAGCCTTAATAAAATTTGATTATTATTAATATTATTAAAAATATGTGAAAATATGATCCCTTTTCTCTTTTTAAGGATGCTAATGTGAACTATAAAAAAGAGTTACCAAAATTTAAAAATTGCAAGTTTCTTAAGTATATATTATATAATATACACGTATATATTATATAATATTATTTAAAATATAAAATAAATAAATTTATATTACATAAGAAGTTCAATTAGGTGTCGAGTGTATATTAGTGTGTATAATTTATATATCTGTTTTATCCATGTTTTTAAATCTTTTTTTATTGAAGCGGAATGAGATATTAAAATGTTTTGAATAGTGCACAACATAACACAAATAAATGCCAATTGCAAAGTAAAAATCTAGTTTTTTTTTAACGCTTTATATGTTGTTATGCTGCAGTTACGGCACAAATTGGCACAAGTAGAGCACTTGCAATGCAGTACAACTTTACATAAGTGCAGTTTTGAGTAAATACTTTTGTATCTTATAAGTAAAGAGGAATGCAAATGAATTTTTACATGAATATTTATATTAAGAGTTTTTAATATTATATATAAAGAATTTAATTAATAACTTTCTCATCACACACAAATAAGTACCTACTACAAAATGCGATTTTACGTAAGAACCAATGTCAAGAAAAATCAAATAATTATAAAACAAATAAGAGAATTGTGCAAATTTTACACAAATATAATCAGAATTAATAATAGAACACACACACAATTTATAAAATTTTTATATTTTTTAGTAATGCTCTGAAATATGATACATATATCCATAAAATCTCATAATTTAGTAGGTATGAATGTTGTTACCATTTTTTCGTGCAGCAGCATTTTGAAGATTGACTAACTGTGTAAAAAATTCTTTCGTGCGACTCTTATGATTTCTCCAAGCAGTCCAAGCCCAACGTAAATCTTTCTCGTTTCTAAATAAAATGTATTTATTGAGAAAAAGAAGATTCAATATTTTTTCTTTGCGATGGAACGATCATATTACTTGGTCTAGAAGACCTTCAATAAAACTATTTTTGAAGAAGTATAAAATATTAGGAAAAATATCAAGACAACGATCTGTATTTTTCAAGGAACAACAAAGAATACTTTTTAAAAAAGAATTAAAATTATTACTTGGGTTATAATAGAAAGGTCTTCGAAAGGAATTAAAATAACGTATTGCAACGCACCTTGAAGTTGCCATTAACTTCTCGATGTTTAATTTACCGTCGTAACATTTTCGTATATAATTTTCAACTTTACAAATCTGTGCAAAGTTATATGCGGATGACAATAATTCATTGATAACAGTAAGTTTTCTGCAGAAAAAAACATGAAAAAACACAAAAAATGGAATGAAAATTAGTATAAATTTAACGACTTAAAAAAATTTTCAATCTTGATTATCACATATTTGCTATACCTTATTGTATTATCCGTATATTTTGGTCCTTTGCACAAAAAGCGTAACAATTTTTCGTTTACAGATACGCCATGATTTTCAAAATCCATCAATTCTGCACACCATTTATTCTTTAAGTTTTGTTTTAATCGAACAAATTGTACATACATTTCTGATGGTACGGTCGAGTAATTTGCAAGAGTTTGCCACTCCAACTCGGCGATTGCTCGATTTAACAATTCAAACGTATTATCTATCGAATTGATCATTGTTTCATAATCGTTTTCTTTTGCTGTAACATATAAATCCATCACAAAATAGATATTCCACATTGCACATAATATTACAATAATATTAATTTAATATTAAATAAAATCTAGCAAAAATATCGCTGAAATATTACTGTCATTCTAATATTACAATATCTGCAAACTGAATCATAGAAATATTATTGAAACATCACAGAAATATCACCGTAATAATATGTACCTAATACTTCTATGATTTTATGTAATGTATATATTTATTGTTTATATAATGTTTTATAATATTTTATATAATGTTTATTTTTGTTGATTACATTTATGTAATATATATTTATATTGGGGAGAATTAAATCACATACATTTTAGAGAATTTTTTTTAATTTATCGAATTGATTCTTTTGATAGTATTTAAATAATTATTCTATAGTATATATGATATTAATTAAAAAATAATAATTGTCACACAGTAACTATATTACATAATATCGTAAATTATAAATTATGTATTATGTATTATATTTTATTTCGTTTTAAACGAAACTTTTTGTTTACGCTTAACAAATGTGTCACTAGTATAAAAAAGAACATTTAAAAAACTGATTTCTACAGATCCTCTCGAAATATTTTTCTCACTACGTCACTGTGCAGGATTGTATTAATTAATTGACTTGAGTAATTCTCAATTATTTTAATATTTCAATAGATCAAGTTATATAACATTTTTTCCATTTTACTTACTTTTCGCAGTGACGTTATTGATAAGAAGAATGATATATATTGCGAGACGAAGGAGAAACATATTTCGTAGACGCTTTCTCGAATCAATTGCCATGTCTTGCAAACGGCGATGTCGTACTGTCGTTCTGTAGAGAAGGATTAATACTATCGTGGAAAAATAAGAGTCTTCATCCGTATTCGAGAATCGATTGACTGTCCGTGCGCATTTGCGCCATCCTTCGTGTTTTTTTTAGGGCGAAGATATACCTTTAATTAAAACTTACGCATTGTTTTACTTGCGCTAGCAAAATGTTTTTTATTACAATCTGTACCTGATTCTAATCGTCTTATTCACTGCGAAGAAAAACATTCCAACGTCGTTACTTATTCTCCCATCTGGCGTCCTGAGAAAACGAAATTTTTATTGAAATTTCGGGGACCAAAAAAGGGATTGCTCATGAAAAAATGCTTTTATAGATAAATTATTAGTAAAAATTTGCGTGAGAATTTTACATATATATAATTTTTCAAATTTTTTTATACAGAATTATTCAAAATTCTGTGCAATTTTATGATCTTTTAGAAATTTGTTTAGATTCAATAAAATTTTAGATATAGTGACTTAGTATTTCGATATTCATTATTTAAATTTTGTATATTTCTTGGTACGTAATATTGAAATCTTTTAGAATTTTTGATCGAAATTATTCCATTTCTCTGCATTTTAATCTTTTTTTTTTTATAGAACAAGGAAATAATCGAGAATTTCGATCAAAATCTATTTCGAATAATTTTATACGTGTGCTCCCAGGAACATCGAAATATTAGAGACTGACGACAGCTTTTGACAAAGCTTTTCAAATGCTGTAGCGTAGCGCCTTTTCAATCTATATTTCGATTCAATTGTACGATATTTAAATATTTAATTACAATTATACGAATGATACAAAAACCTTTTTAATGATATTTCATAACTTTCCATACAAAATACAAATGATAAGAACGTTGTTTCTCAATTCACCTCCTTTGTAAATATTTTTGGTTGAATGATGTAAAAATAATTAATTAATTGCAATTAACTGAATGAACAAACTTTTTCAATTGCATTTTAAAACTCATACGAAATACAAACGTTTTATTTAAAAAATGGCGTCTTTTGCAAAAAGACTATAAAGCTGGAAACACAATAGGCACAGGCAACAGGGAATAACGAGCCGTCCAATCAGAGCTCTGAGATATAAATTCGATATTATATCCCAGAGCTCTGATTGGACGGATCATTATTCCCTGTTGCCTGTGCCTATTGTGTTTCCAGCTTTAGGCTACATATTCCAAAATGTCTTTTGTGAAGAAGATTTTACTCTATATATACTATAGTATAAGTTACATGTATTATATATTATATAAGTAAAATTTTCCTTGGAGAAGACGTTTTGGAATGTACAGACAAAACAGAAAGCAGAAAAGCAGTAGCCGATCAAAACTTGCGCTAGTAGTAAATAAAATGAAAAGCAGAAAGCGGCGATCACCAGCGCAATTTCTGATTGGCTGCCGTTCTTCTGCTTTTCAGTTTAGATTTGAAGCCGATATTCATAGGCCGGTATTTATTCATAAGTCACTTCTTATATATTCGAAACTATCTTAAGTTCAATCTTGAGATATCACGAACCAATCAGAACAATGTAAGAGCTGCGCAGAATAAAAGGAACAGAGAATAAGAATTTCCACCTATCAGAAATCATGTACTATGGAATACACCCTGTTTATTCCGCAGTATATGATTTCTGATAGGTTTAAATTCCTATTCTCTGTTCTCATGAATATGCAATATATACCACAATATATCCTTACTTGGGGCTTTTTTATTTTCGTGTCAGCTTGACAGCTGGCTTCCTCGTTCACTCCCGTAAGAAAGGAGCTCGTTTCGCAATTCTCCTCATTTTCATGTATGTTACATGTATGTTTCACGTCTTTCATATTCGCATCCTCCATGCGTGATGCAGTCGAGACACCCGAGGCGTATTCCTTGATGTTGAATGGTTAAACGGTAAACCGTGATAAACCGCGATGCCGTGGATCTCTGGGGATCGAACATCGATGATTCAGAAGAAGAAAAGGAAAAGTAGAAGAACGTCAAACGCGGAAGCGAAACATGCAGGGCAGAATTTTCACATTGCCGGCGCATGTTGGCGCATGCCACTCACAAGTCGGCTGGCGCGTTATCGTTGATTCCTGTATGCGTCAATGACACGTCACGAGCAGTCATCGATTGAGGCTGAAATGACCGCAGAGCTTTTTGCGGCATCGAAAACTGCAAATCTTGTGTAATATGGTGGAGATTAAGTCTTCGTGGTACGTCAAAAATTGATTGTATCATCGCGCAACTTGTGCATAATTTTCACATGTTTATACGCTCCAATAAGTATAGTTCAGTCAGTCAATAGGTCGATCAACGCTATATTTACAATTAGATGGATACGATGAGGTGCTCGAACATTTCGATCTTTCAGTTGCGGATTACTGATTTAATGACCGGTAAAAAAAAACTACCTTTTCTATAAAACTATAGTTGGCTTCATAGAATTTAAACAAATACTTTATTATAGATTTTATATACTAAAATTAAAAATTTATTAAACAATAAGTTCGTATTATTTTTGCAACGCAAATTAAATTGAAATAAAAGTTTAACGAACAATTAAGGATGATATTAAATTAATATATTATTTATTTATTAACATTTATACAGATACGCAAATTTATTTATTAATTAAAATTTATTAATTAAATAAATTTTTTATTTAAAAAAGAATTCATTATTTAATGTGTAATGCTATTATATTTATTTTTAAAATATATATATATTTTTTTTTAAGTGGTAAAATAAAAAGTTTGTAATATATATATATATATATATAGTACTTAAAGTTTTTTTTTTTAAAAAATAGGTTATATTGTATAATTTCCTTTAGTCTCTCAATAACTTTGTCAAATTTCCTTGGAAAATATTTTCAATTAAATTTTTTAAATGTGTTTTCAAAGTTTTCCCATTCAAGTTATACTTAGTGCTTCAAACAAGAGTTCTTATTAATTATTCTGCATTCATCAATCTTATTATTCAAAATTGCCAGATCTTCAAAATGTAAATCTGAAAACTGCGAAGACCATTCAAGCTGTTTGTGGTAGACATGAAAAAAAGTTTAACTCTTTTTTGCTGTTTTTCGACTTTTGAGTCATTATCTTACTAAAAAATAAAATTATCTTCGAGCCCAAACTTCAACAAAGATTCCTTAAAATTTTCATTAATTACGTCAATATAAACATCTCGCCATCATAATTCTATCAATTTTGTCAAAATTTCCTCTTCTTGCTCATAAAAAACACCTCCAGATCATAAATATTTCCATTACCATGCTTTAAAGTTTTTTGAATATGGTAATTTAAAACTTTTTAAAGCTTTTCTTCATGTTTTTTTCAGACTTTAATCGAATTTCAAGTTATTTGGATAAAAAAAATAAATTGGAGGGAACGTTTGTCACAGAATAGGAAATCTTGTAAAAATTATAGTAGTTATAACGGCAGGTGTTTATATTGACATAATTAATAAAAATTAGGAAAAATGTTTGTTGAAGTAGACTTAAAAAGTTATTAAGGCTAAAAAAATCATATTAATTGTTAATTAGAATTATAATGTTGTTTTCTAAAATAAAAATAACATATATGTTACATTAATTAATTTTTTTATTTTGTTACATTTAAATATTTAATCTTTTAAAAATAATTATAGTATTATACATTAAAATTGCTCGCAAAGATCTGAACATTTCGGGTCGATTTTGTTTGCAAAGCTTACTGTCTCCTCACTACCGTTCGAAGCTCGATGGTTGATCGTGTATAGTATAGCTTTGTTTCTCAGGAGAGTCCTTATATCAAAAGTATTCTGGGAGCATACCTTTCGCCCAATCATTATTGAAACATGTTTTTTTATTAAATAATTTATTTTTAACAAATTTTCTTATTAAGAACACTGACGAAATTAAAAATAATATAATAAGTCAGGCAAATGAGAATGCGGTGCGGTATTTAGCGCACAAACGTTATGTACTGTAAGAATGAAATACTTTTAAACTTACTTAACAATTATCTTCCAATCGAACGTTTTTCAATCAATAGAGTTGGAATCATCTTCAGCGATAGAATATCAAAGAATAAAAAAATTGTTCCATGTATCAGAGACGAGTTATTTTCAAAATTTACTCGTATGAACATTTTATTTCAACGCAGAAGCCAACTTGTTCGGTAGTTTTTGACAAAGTTAAAAAGCATGATTTCCCAAGCATTTAAAGTTTCGTAAAAAGTTTAAAAGAACAGTTTTCTTTCTTTTTCCTCAAAAGGAAAGAATAACAAAAAAGAATACGTGATATTAAGAGAAATCTGTGAAGAATTGCACTTTAATCATTTCATATTTCGCGCGAAATCTATGTTCGCGGTTTTTGCGTGAAATTGTATCTTTATAAAAAGATACAATTTCACGTATTAAAATAATCAATTGGAGCGACAGATCTGTTGCTGTTATTATAGTGGCTAAAATTTTGTGTTGGAGTGATCAAATTGGAGGCAGATCAAAATAAATTTCCGAATTTATTGAACAGAACCAAAAATCCTTTTACAGAATTGAAGTAAACGCAAAATTAGATGGTGGTGCCATGGATTTTGTACTAAAATCGAAAAAAGTTGGAAACTTATACTTTTTCTATTCGTAAAACTATCACCTGACGTAAATGTTTTCTTAATATAGTACAAGAATTTTACAACTCGTATGAACTAAACAACAGTTCAACACTTAGGAGTATTTCATGAACAAACAATACCGAGTTCGCAGAACTGAGATTGAAAGCTCCAAAAAATAGATTTTTATTGAACTGCAAATTATATATATTTGTTTCCTTAACGAAGATTCAATATGGTAACAAACCAAGAATTACGTCTGACAGTAGTTGCTCAATTTTACGAGAGATGGCAATATGTTAGATAAGGACAGACGAATGCGTTTGAGTGAGACACAACGATATATAACATAATATAAGAAATGAATGAAAGATGTCACGAGTATCGAATTTGGAATTTAAAAAATCTGTAATATTGATCTCGATCAAGTTCGGCCGTCGCTCCAGCATTCCCTTAAACAGTTTCAACTACAAGTCATCAAACGCTCTTGACAGTGCTGCCGCATCATGTTGACCGAGCAAAACATCTTAAGACCTAAACATAATGCGAGGCAACAATGATAGCGATAGAAATAGAGGAATCCAACATACCGAAATGCATATGTCACTGCACACAAAGGAACAGAAAATAAGGCGATAAATTTCCAACGAGTTGGAATTCTGTGTCTATCTCCTTATAGCCTACTAATCAGCATTCAGATTTTTCATCTTGAAACAGATGGAAGTCGGAAGAATATACTACATTCTATATCAGCTATTGGTTGGTATTTTTATTTCTTTCGCAGCATTGTGCAATAAGAGGCGACAATTGTATATTGCTTATTTTTATACTATTCATATCGCTTTTCTTATTACTCTGTTGCCTTGCAATATGCCTAGGGCTTTATATCCTTACATTATAGGATACGTTTTGAATTATGCATGTAGCTTGTAAACTGCATAGAAATTCGTTCTGATTTAATCAATGCGCGCATTTGAAGCGCTTTGATAGCGCTGAGAATTTCTTAGATTGTACTATCCGTACTAAATTCTTAGCACTCTCTCCAGTGCATTGACTGCTTCTATTTTGACTTGAGGCAGTTGATGCGTCTGATGCATTCATACAGTCTATACGCTTCATCTGTAATTCGGAACGAATATTCGTGGTACTGTGACCCTTAGATATAGATCAGAAATCCTTCTAAGAACTCTAAAGAAGAAGAATGAGTATTATAGTGAAGAAGTCGAAACTTAAAACTTTGAAAGTTGTTAATTTTATTTATATAATTAGTTTATTCCATTTTAATTAATTACGAGCTTTTAAATTTGTAAGTCGATCTTTAAAGTTTGATGTTATGTTACGTTATTACGTTAAAATATGATACTTTTAATAATTAAAAATTATAGGTCTTCTAAAGCGACACCTCTCAGAAATTAACTGTTACACTTTATTGATATATGATCTGTTCAGTTAATTAAAGAAGTACATAATATATATATTTGTGGCTTGTTTCTATATCAAATCAGCTAAGAACGAATTCTACGAATGTGAGAAAATAAAATTTTTATGATTTTTTTTTACAAATTGCGTAATGTAAATAATAGTGACTACATTATTGATAATATACAATATTACGTCTTTTTAAATGCTTGTAATTTCCTAAATAAGTTTTATTTATATAATTTTCTTTCTTAGTTTTTTCATAATACAATTTTAAATATAAAATCCAGGTTTAACTACTACACCTGTCACTTGTAAAACAAATCATTATTGGAGCTAAAGACAATCGTGAATTAATTGGGAAAACCTCTGTAAAACTATTTTGTTACATATGTGCATTTTTCAGAACAGCATGAAGTAAATATGCATATAGGTAATTCAATAGAAATGTTTTATAACGAAGTGGAAAGATTCTGGAAAACTCTTATGTACATTCACTTGTAGATACTTTACATAGATAATCATATAAAAGAAAAAGAATATGAATATGTGGTATTACTGTATACTGTATGTGTTAGTTTTGGAAGCCATTTTGTCAGACACTCAGTTTTACTTATCTTATAACGAAAAAATTAATTATTACAAAATTGCAAACAATATTATAAAAACTGCTTATACTATCTGATAGAAGACACTTTTTGTACTTATATTTAAAAAAATTTATTTTTGTTTAAAAATAAAGTCTAAAGAAATATTGTCTAAAAATAAAGTGGTATATCGGTATCAGTGACCTCTAATATAATTTAAAATATAATATTTTTAATTGTTAATTTCTTTAATTTGTAATTAATGAGAAGACCGCACAGGAAATTGTTCCGAATAACTAAAGCGTTTTATGCGCATTGACAAAACAGAAAGATTTCAAAGCGCTGCGCAAAAGTAATGCAGTCCATGCGTTTCATACACAACGCACTCGGAACGCACTCATGACTATAGAACATCATATTGGACTAAAAAATAGTGAAGATCTCAATTTCGAAATTTTTTATCGTTCTCGATATAAATTTTACTTCACATGTATTAATGCGTATACTTTAATTCTGGGAAAGGATTTTCAAATTTGTAAAGAGAAAAGGGTAATTGTTATATAAAAATTAAACGTTTTATCAGTAAAACAGACGTCTTTAGGATCCCCTTAATATATTTTGTACGCGTCATCGGCGCCTAGTGCCACGTTCGTTAGAGCTTGGTACTTTTTGGCCTGTCCCGCCGCCGTTCCGCTTGACATGTTTGCAATCGTCTTTTTAGTTTACGGCCGACCGCCGGGCGCCGACGACGTCGCGATCGGCTTGCTTATCACCGAAGTAGAACAGTCCGATGTTGATATTTCGTGCTTCCCTTTTCTTTCGTTTTCCTCTCTCCTTTTTCTTTTACTATCTCCCTCTGAAAGTCGCGATTCCGGGAAGTTCGCCAGTCGCCAGACGCATGATGCTTGCCACGTGCTCGAGGATCGTTTAAATCGGTATGATATAACAAGCGCGTCGTTTCTCCACAGTCGTAGCTTTATTTTCCGCAGACGTACTAACTCATATCCTCTTGATATAAAATAGATGCGTAATCGGATGTAGGAAAGAAAAAATGCAAATGGACAATAGAGAGATTCGATATTTTTTTGGGTTTGTTTTTTAAATTCTACTTTTTATTGTTTCTCTCTTTTTTCCTAAACATCTAATAAAAAAATATCTATAATAATATGGTTTATTAAAAAATTGTAGAGTTATTCGTACTCTCAAATTCTAACAGACAAAAATATAAAGATATTGAGAGAGAGAACTAAGGAGAGTCAAATGCAGTTAACTGTACGTAATTATAAAAATATATTCAAGTTTAAATTATACAAACGATAAAGCTAATGAATGGTTTATTAATTTAGTAGTTTTTAGCATTATTTCAAATAAAGATTAATAAACATTTTTTCACACATTAGAAATATTTTATTTTTCCGCTGTAAAAGCAACATAAATGATAATATTTCATGAACGATTACATAAAATACACTTTATTGCACATTTTATTGTCATACAAATATTTTACAAAGCTGTAATAAAGTAAATATATTATTTCATTAAAAAATGAATTATCATTAAAAACATTGAAAAAATAATTTTAAATTGAAACTCTCATTCAAGTTATATGTATAAATCTTTTTTACATAAAATAATTTTAGTTTGTTTAATTTTTTTATAATTATTACTTATTGTTAGACAAATCATTGAGTACATATACTTTAATTATAAATATTAGTATATTAGTTTTATTTTAACTACAAAGTATTATAACATAGTATAATTTATAAAGAATAGACTTTTTTTTGGCTAATTAGAAATAAATCTTATTTTTATTCACCTTTTTTTGACACGTGTCGATTGATCTGCGTGGACTTATTGTTAGTTAAATTTTTCAAGTTGGTTGCATTTAATCTTCAGTTTCCTCATGTATAAAATAAATTCAATTTAAGTTCATATCGATTGATCGACAAAAAAGTTATGGAAATTAAGGATTGTCGCTTTAAGATGATAATTTTTAGAAAGAAAAAGAAAGACAAAACATATAGAATTCACGCGAAAATTGAATTTCTGAGAGAAACGAGGGGCTGACATTTATTTTAATGTCCCGAAAATCTAAAAACAACTCCGATCCAACTGTTCTAATAGCTGGACCGATGTATTACAAAGAAAAAGATTGTAAAAATTCCTGGCCAAACTAAAAGAAGCCTGAAGTAAAACAAATACATGTTTATATTCGGTAGTCATTTCATTATTATAACAATTACGCTAATACGATGCTAATTATATGATGATGTATTTTTAAAACATAAATTGATTATTTTATTATATATTCATTTGATTAATATATTCGTTATTTACGTGACTTAAATATGTACATTTTAATTCGTACTTCATTATTAAAAATATTAGTAAACAGTAATATATTATAATATTATTTTTATCACTAATTTTAATCATGTTTGTTTTTTTTTATGTAGCGACTAATTATTATTTTCACTCTCGTGTTTTTCGTGTGATTCTTGCTTTTTGTTTTCATACAAACAACAAATAACACAATGATATAGAGAGAAACTGAGATCTTATTGTTACAATTTTCGGAATTCCGATTCCATTTTTGGAATCGCGACTCTATTGTCGTGATAAATTATCGAAATTGTCGTTAAATCTAACAATTAATAAAAATTAGATTCTAGTGTAATTCCTTTTAAGGATATATATAAGTATCTGTATAATTGTTACAAATGTATTAATACTTATTTATACTTTGAACAAACTATGTATTATATATATCTAAGAGTTATGTTCATAACATTCTGTTTTTATTGAATAATATATTTTTATTATTTTATTTGTCATTATTTTGATCGTTATGAACTAAAATTTTATAAATGATAACAAAAATCTAAATTAATACTTTTAAATGCAATTTAGAATAATTTAATTTCATTTTTTTTTCATAAATTTAATTTTAATTTTTTTCTTAATTTTGTTATCATTTTGAAATATCCCTTAAAACTGGACCGTAACCGTACGTATATACGACAAAGAGGAGGGATGCGTAAACTCGAATTACATAAAACGCAAAAATAGCATTACCGCAAAATATCATAAAAGCATTAACTGGACGATGGACATACCTCTTCTTATCCCACAAACACCTTATTAATTGAAAAACAAAAACATGAAAAAAGATCTTTAAAGAGTCATGTATAAATGTAGTCAGAAATACCTAGAAACACGTAACAATAAGCAGTAAATGAATTAGCCAATCACAATAGAGCACGTAAGGCAATAACCTTACATTATCTATACTAATTGGCTGATTTGCTTACTGTTTACATCTTATTGCCTTACATTTATATCATGATCTTATAGGCTATGGAACAAAAAATTTAAGTATCAAAATATATAAAGTAATAAACAAATTGGTCAATCATAATAGAGATCGAAAAGCTATAACATAAACAGTAGCAAGTTCACATTATCGGTTTCCTTACTACTTACTCAATATCTTATTTAAATTTATTTAAATAAGTTTATATATATATATATAT